GAACAAGCATGTGCGCCTATGTGCGTATTGTGTGTGTGTGTGTGTGTGTGTGTGTGTGTGTTTGTCTGTCTGTCTGTCTGTGTCTTGTCTTTGTCTGTCTGTCTGTCTGTCTGCGTTGGGGGGGTGGGTAACAAACTTCCGAAACAAAGAAGAGGAAGGCAGATAATGTTTTTTCTTTCTGGTCTGTTTTTGATTTTGCTTTTTTTTTCTAGAAAAAAAGAAGAGGAGGAGGAAGAAGAGGAAAATACATGGCTTTCTTGTATGATTTTCCCGATTTCCCCCCTCTTTATGGATGGAGCTTTATCTAAAAAGGCTACTTGATCCTTTCCTTCCCCACCAAGTCAAACCCCCCCCCTCTCCCAAGTCGGACGGACACTTTTGGGGCCGGTAAAGAAATCCGCCCAATACCGCTCAAGAAATTGACAAGGCAGGAGGGAACCTGTAAGGCTATGGGCACTCTGGTAGGCTGACTGGACACCTTCCCTGCTTCTTCTCTCCGTCTAATAGTGACAAGTGTCCCCCCCCCCCCTCTCCCCCGTACCATCCGCCAACGCCAATGCCGCCCGCATAGAGCCAATCATGCCATCTCTTTTCCCCGCCTCGAGCCGAGAGTTGAACCAGAAACTGCCCGGTGGATCGTGTTCGTGTCTCCCTAATATATCCTCAGTGGAAGCTGGAAGTTGGAAGTTGCGGTTGCAGCTTCGCGAACAAGGTACCCATCTACGTATTCCATGTACCGTTACCCAACTATCAGCCAGCATCATCATCACGCATTCAACGACCGACGCGGTGATGGTACCATCGTACCGGCAACATGCAACATATTCCAGGCTTTCTCCCCGGCTGCCTGCCAGCTAGCCACGACACGCGCCAACCCATCATTTCCTCCTACTCTCGTGCGAGCAGTGCTAACCCTCTTCTCCTCCCCAGAAATGTATACCTTGCCATGTGTCGTAGTATGACAGTAGCGGTACTCCCTAGTGGCCGCACATGCGGCCATGTCTGTCATGATAGTAGTACTGCATGCTGCACGGTATCATTGTATCGTTGCACCACTGCACCATTGCGTATGCATGTATCCGTAGTATCAACTCATACGCACACACGCAGACATATGAAATTACCGTTTTCTTCTCTCTCTTCATTCGTGCAGCTACAGAATCAAGGGGGGGGGGGGTTCCCCTAGACGGAAGGAGAGAAAAGAAGGACGAGATAGAACAAGATAAGATCATGACCAGGAAAAAAAAACACACATACACACGATAGTGGCTGTTCCTCCGATCCCCCTCCTGCCAGTACATTCAAGCGTCCCAATAATCCGACCCGTCATCCGGCCCATCAGATGCTCCTCGGTCATCTCCAAGCTCCAGGTCTCCGCGGTGTCCTCTAAGCACTCACAAATCCCTTCTTGGTCTGCATCTGTATGTAAGAGACAGTCCGCTCTGATCAAACGAGGAAGGAAGAGAGGGAGGGCTGGGGTGAAGGAGAACTCACAAACATATCCCACAGCTTGGATGTGAGTGCGTCGGGCATCGTATACAGGTCAATCGAAAACTCGCCAGCTTCACGCAAGTCATCCACTATTAGCAAGATGGGAGGGAAAAAAAAACCAATCAACAACAATCTCAAAAAGGAGATGAGGGGTGGGAGCGGATAGAAGGGTAGATGTCGAAGAGAGGGAAGAGGAGAGGGGAGGTGAGGAGAAGGAGAGATACGTACCTTCGATATCGCTGCGGATATATGTGTCGGGCCCCTTGTTCTCATTGATGAGCTGGATGACTTTGAGAAGATCCTCCTCCTCGAGACTCTGCAGGGCATCGGCAATCTTCTCATAGTCAAACTTTTGGCTGCTCTTCTTGCCGCCCGACACGGCGCCGGCAACACCCTTCTTGCGCGGCCGGTCCTCGTCGTTGGGCAGGGGGCCCGTCTCGCGCAGACGCTCCTGCAGGGCCTGCGACGGGTTCTTGAAGGTGACGTCGTGGATGCCCGAATATTTGTTCTGGAGGAAGTTGAGGTCCTGGAGGATGGGGGCGAGCTTGGTCTTTTCAGTTGTGTAGAGGTCGATGCTGATGTCAAACTCGCCCCAGCCCTCGTTGCTGCAGACAAAGGGAGGCTTGGTGAAGGCTGGGATGGTCGTGGTTGTTAGCATCTTGACTCGTCTTCCTCTTCTTCTTCCTCTTCTTCTTCTTCCGTAGTCTTTCCCATTCTCCCTTCCCTCCCTCCCTCTCTCTCTCTCTCTCTCTCTCTGCCTCTTCTCTCTAGTCTTTTCTTCCCCTTCTTCTCTACCCTTTTCCTCCTTCTCTCTCATCTTCGTTTTGGGTACTTACTCTGAACAGGATTCTCAAAAGTAGGGTGCAGGTTGTAGACGACCTTGGTAAAGACGTCGGCGGGTCTCTCATTACCTTGGTCGTCGAGTATGAACAAACGCATACTCCAAGCGCGCATAGGGAATTCCTCAACGGGAGAAGGCTTGTCTCTGCAGATCCATCTCCATGTCAGCCGCCTATAACAATCTCGTCCGATCCCAAGTCTTGGCATCCAGCGTTGGGGACTCTATAGAGGAAGAAGAGTGGTTTTTTTCATATAGGAAAAAACCCCCCGGATAGCAGAAAAGGAAGAGAAAAAAATACTTACATGACATTCTGCTCGACAACAACCTTGACTTTGCGCTATAGATGAATCCACAGTCAGCATCATCTCAATTTCTTTTTTTTTTTTTTTCGCTTTCCGTCATCCTCCGCGCGTCATCAAAATTGGGGGGGAGGAGGAGGAAAGAGCCGACTTTTCGCCATCCCCGGATGGGCACTGTAATAGCGTTGGGGCACGGGATGTGATGTGGATGGATCCATCCATCCACCCAGGCCAGCCTGGCAGCCACCATCGACGCATTGGAGCCGACAGGCAATTCATCGACAGTCGGGCATCTCCAACAGAAAAAGAACAGATAGACAAGGGAGAATGATGGGCGAACTTCAATGTGTGTCATGCGTGCGCTCGCGCGTGCTTCTACAGCCATCCCCTTGCTGCAGAAGCACTGCAAAAAAAAGAGCACACACACATCCCAAGCGGTGACAAGGTTCAAGAAAGAAGGAAGGGGAAGAAAAAAAAGAGAGAACCCAATCGAACCCCAGGTGAAGAAAAGAAGATGCATCTTCTTCTAGAGTGAGAGAAGACAAGAGTACATGTGCGGGGATGGATGAATCCTTACCTCGACCAGCATGATGAATAACTTTCTTCTCCCTCTTTTTTTTCCCTGGCTCTCGTTTAAACAAGAGAGAGAGTGTGTGTGCGTGTGCGTGTAGAGTCCCTGGCAGTTATCTCACCTCTAAGTCCTCTGACCGGGAACGAATGAAGAAGAAAAGTGTGATGGATGCGTTCTGTACACACGCAAATCAAAAAGGAAGAAGGAAGACGATGATCAGAATCTAGTAGAGGGAAACAAGGGAATTGCGAGCGACGTGTTTTACTGCGACTTTGTGTGAACGGGGGGAGGGAATGGGGAATTCTGGTTCAAAGAAGGCGGACGCGGGAGAGCGAAAATAATGGGATTTTGGGGGGGGGGGCAGGCGTGACGGGGACCACACGCTCCTTCTCTCCTTCTCTCTCTCTCTCTCTCTCTGTGTGTGTGTGTTGTATGTATGTATGTGTGTGCTTGGCTCTACCCTCCCAGTCTGTACGAGCGACCACTGCAATGCTGTATTTGCTGATGCTTGCTGCCTGTAAGCCTATAGCTACGCTGCATCTGCCTGTGGACTCCCCCCCACCCCCGGCAAGGTTTCCTTCCTCCTTCAAGTTCTTCCTCCTTCTGGCGCCGGGTGGCCTGAGGCGCTCAGCGGAATCACCGACGCCACAACGTGCACATTGTACGATCACTGTTCCGCCAGCGCGAGTAGATGTAATAACATTCAACATCTACAGAGACAGAAATGAACCTTAGGCAAAAACGAACTCTACAAAAACAATTGGAAAAGAGGGAGACGTAGAAGAAACCACGGGGCGTGGTATTCTTCTTCTTTCTTTTTTCTTCTTTTGCGCCCCTACCTCTCGTACAGTCAGTCCTTCACCACCTCACCTGCTTACCACACGCTACTAGCACCCTCCTACTAGCACTCTTAGCTGAACACCACCAGCCACACACATCCGCATCTGCTGCCCTCTACGTGTAGGCTTCACTACGCTGCAGACATGTCGATAACTTGAAGAGAGAGAAGGTGATGGTACCCGTGAGGTATCACTCGTAGTAAATTTCTTCATCACTTTCATCTACCAGCGTTCCCATCTCTGTATTTCTCTTGGGGGTTCATGTTAAGTGGCCTGTGCCCCCCCCCCACCCCCCTTTTATTTTTATTTTTATTTTTTATTTTTTTTATCTTACCAGCTTGTAGTCGAATCTTTTCGTCGCCCTCTTTCCTCCCGTCATCCTTTCAGAGTTATGCCCTCTTAGCCTAGTACAATCTCCTGACGCCACACATGTCCTGACTGATCGTCCTGTTTCGTCTTCTACTTTTCATGCTCCGCGATCGTCAACTGATGGATCAAAGTTGGGCAGTGTCGTAATCTTGGTGGCAGGGGACAAGGTTCATCATCGCTAATCGACTGTCATGAAGAGATAGGAAGGATATCGATGTCCCATGTATATGTGACAAGTGTTCTTTTTCAAACCAAACCAACCAACCAAACCAACCAACCAAAAAAAAAAAAAAAGTTCAAGGAGCAGCAGAGGGCAAAACAGCAGCATGAGTGAAAAATGGAAGAAGGGGGTATTTATTTTGATTTTTTGTTTCTTTATTCTTTTTCTGAACTTCTCTCTCGTCTGCGCAGGAGTAGCAGGCACGCCGTGCCGGGGTGGGATGGGATGTGTTATATGGGCATTGTGTATGGAGGGGGGCAGGGGGGTGCGTGATATGGTGTTATCTGTATGTGTGCGTGAGTGCGTGGACGCGTGCGTGCGTGCGTGCGTGCGTGCGGGTGTCGTGATTTTTTTTTCTTTGCGTACGTATGATGGCCATGTCCAGGAGAAGGGATTTGAGGGGGAGGGGGAGGGGGGGGGAAGCTGGCCGATATTCTCTAAGCAGACTCGCCCTCGGCCCTGTTGAAGATCTCCTCATTGTCCTTCTGGGCCTGGACGAAGGCATCCCTGAAGAGGTTGGCGTCTTGAGCCATGGTCAGTACACGTCTGTTCCGCGGGAGAAGACGGTGGCTTTATAGAAGCAGAGAGGTGGGAGAAGATCTTACTGTCAGAGTTGGCAAAGCGGATAGCCAGAGTGACGGCCTCGGGCTCACCCTCGCTGACATCGGCCGCGGCGTTCCACACCCAGCTGCGGTCAGAGCCGACGTTGGGGGAGAGCTTCATCTCGGGGACGACTGTCCGACGTAGAGAGAGGCGTCCGTCAGCAACACACCTTCTTGCGCGCGGGAGAGGGCAGGGAGAGAGTGGGAGGGGGGGACGTACCGTAGTGGTTGGCGCAGACCTTGAGGGTCTTGTCGCGACGCATCACCAGCCGCGTCTTTCCATTCTCCCTGTGCTTGAGCAGGCGAACGTCACCGGTGCCGCGCTCCTTCCACTCGCTGCTCTCCTTGACGAACTTGAAGAGCTTGGCGCGCATCTTGAAGAGCTGCTCCTCCGACTCCTCGTTGGTCAGGGTCTCGACCTTCTCCGTCAGCTTGATGACGGGCTCGAAGTGGACGTCTTCGGAATCGGGGGCGACCTCCTCCTGTTTTCATAGACGGCATCTGCGTTAGTTTGGCGGTCCTTCTCTCTCCATCGTTTCGGGTGTTCCCTTTTACGGAGCATGGGCCGTAGGAGTGGAGAAGAAAACATACCTCCTGGGCAGCGTCGCGCTGAGCCTTGGCGCTGCCAGAGTTGTCGCCGCGGTCCTCGTCATCCTTCTTCTCCTTCTTCTCGCCACCGCCGAACATGGAGAAGACGGCAGAGGACGTCACAGGCTTGGAGTCCTCCTCAGCAGCAGCGGGGGCGGCAGCGGCATCTTCTCCGGCGGCGGGGGCAGCAGCCTCCTCGGCGGCGGGGACAGCAGCCTCCTCGATAGCAGCGGGAGCGGTCTCGTCGACAGGGGCAGCAGCAGCAGCCTTTTTGTTAAAAAGAAGAGAAAGATCAGCTTTTTTTTCTTCTCTGTTTTTTTTTCTTCCTCTTCGTCTCCCCCCACTCCGTATGATGCGTAATCCCGGAATTGCGTGTAATGCGTACCTCCTCAGTCGCGGGTGTCACCTCGGGCTGGACCTCGCCGACGACAGGCTGGGTCTCGTCGACCTTGTGCTCGGTAGGCTCGGTGCTAGACATGATGGTGGGAGGAATAGTTGGTGTCCGATATGAACTCGATTTGAAAAAGAAAAAAAAACGTGTTGTGAAAGAAGAATAAGAGTAGAACCTGTGGCATATATATATTTTTGGTTTGTCAGTTTATCTCTCTCTCTCTCTCTCTCTCTCTCTCCTTTTTTCCCTCTTCATCCGTCTATTTCTTTCTTTTTTTCCCTCTTCTCTCTCTCTCCTCCTCTCTCTTTTTGGTTCCCTGCCTCTGTCATCATCTGCCTACTACCCCTCCTAGGGTAGGGGTGGGCGGGGAACAGGGAAAGACAGCACAGCAGCAGAAGAAAAAAGAGACAAGGGGTCCCCCCCCCTCTCCCGACAAGGCCTGGCCGCGAAAGAGAAAGAAAAAAGAGGGAAGACGGGTAACACGTGCAGACGACGTGAAACAAAAGGTTCTATGGGTTTCTTTTCTTTCTTTTCTTACTCACCGATGTGACACGTGGGATATGGTGTAGGGTCAATGAAGAGAAAGAAAACACGGAGAGCTCTTTTTTTCCCTTTGCGTTGATGTTTTGTTGATGGAGATGGAGGGGGTGATGGAAAATGGAAAATGGATAGTGGGTAGGTTTAATAAGGAGGGGTGAGAAGGGGAGAGAGGGGGGGGGGCGCCGGTCGCACAGTCATACATACAGCAAGGACAGCCAGTCTCTGCTACCTCTACTATACTACGTCCCGGGCTACTATCTACTGTTATTACCTAGCACTAACACCGTACTAGTAGCAGTAGTGGTAGCAATATCAGGCTTCCATTGCTACCTCTCCTCTACTACCAAAAAAAAAAAAAAAAAAAAAAAAACAGAAAGCAGACACATTACGAACAAAAAATCCCTTTCGACCCTCTTCTTCCCTGCTTCCATCCTTGTCTTAAAAGTGGCCATATATCCTCGCGGAGTTGCCACCTTTACCTCTCCTGTAATATTTTTCTCATCCCACGCAGCCTAAGACAACCTCTCTCCCATCATACTACCAAAAAAAAAAAAAAAAAAAAAAAAACAGAAAGCTGTGCCCGCCGCTGTGCCCGCCCGCTGTGTTGGCGTGCCCCTCATGGCGGGGGAGATATTGGCGACGCCCACAGTGATTCGCTCTGGTGGGGCGGAGGTATTGAGTACTTTATACCTGTATGTCACAATACAGTCAAGAGTGCAGTATCAATACTAATTATTCTCGTACCGGTAGTACGATAGTCAACAGCAATCACCAAGTCTGACCGGTGAGCGCAATACTTCTACTCAAAACAAAACAAAAACAAAGAAAACAGAGAAAAAAAACACTCTCTCTCGTGCTCATGGAAAACGATTCGTGCACGGGCACAGTCCTGCCTGATCCCACTGTCCTTGGGAAACCATGGATACTTGGATATGACACCTGGAATAATCAAAAGGGGTGAAAGACAAGACTAGAGAGGGAAGGTAACTCTGTATACATGTTGTTACTCCTACACATTTGAATAAAGAAACACCTTACTTCGATTCGGTAATATAAGAAGAAGGGAAGACGAGAGAGGAGGGGGAGGAGGAGAAGAAGAAGAAGAAGAAGACAGACAAGACGAGAATAACAAGAAAAGAAAAAGAACAGAACAGAACAGAACAAAAGGGAGGGCAGACGAAAAACGAGAAACGGGAAAAAACTTCCATTCCAAACTCCAATCCAGTCAATCCTGCGTATCTCCTGGTAATTCGAATCATGGGCTCATCGTAGTAGTTGAAAAAAGTTTGCGAGAAAAGGTACCGAGAGAACTAGGCATGATCCCAAAGATGCCAAACACCCCCTCCTTTCAAAGGCAACCAGAATAAAAAAAAATCAAATAAAGAATAAGAAAGAGTAGAACGGGAAATAAGAGAGAGAGAGTAAGGAGGCCTTATTCGCAGGTGAAGATCTCACCAGGCTGGAACCGAGGATCGAGATACTCCCACCACGATGACCTCTGCTCACCCTCTACCTGCGACGACGACGACGACGACGGAGACGAAGAACCCCTCCTAATCTTGGCCTCAGCCAGCTTCTCCTGCATGAACAAGGCGGCCTTGCGTCGGTACTCGTCGCGCTCCTCGGTCCTCCCCAGGACAGACAGCCAGGCAATCTTGGCCGAGAGCTGGGCGTTGAGCAGGTCGAGCTGGGCCGTCGTCTGGGCCACGCGGACGAGGCGAGTCGCCTCCCGCCGAAGGGTATCCAGGTGCGTCGAGCCCTCGACGCTGCTGATGATGGACGTCTGGACACCCTGGCAGCGACGCCGGGCCGCGGTGTACAGGCTGTCCAAGTGGGCTCGGGCGTGGCTGGAAATGCCGTCATCGCTGACGATGCCGCTGAGCCGGGCCTTGACATCTTCATAGACGCCGGACACGTCCTTGACGATGCCGCTCGTGGTGGGGCGCTCGTCGTATGCCGACTGCATAGACGTCATGGCCGAGCGCCAGACGGGCGCAGCCCAGGTCTCCCAGACGGCTTCGGCCTGGTGCTCGGTGTGTTCGGATATCTTGTTGTATAGGTCGATGACAGTGTCAAAGGTGCCCTTCGCAAAGCGAATCTTGACCGCCTTCCTCAGACGGGGCTTGCACGCAGACTCGACGACGAGATCGACGATGCCATAGGCCTCGCGGTGAGGGAACCTGACAAGAAACCCGTCGTCGGCGGCGCAGACCGTCTTCTTCACATCGTGGTCGTCGTCTCTCGTCGCCGTGAAGGTGGCGCGGCAGTTGTTGGACGACCAGGCGTCCATGACGTGCTGGGGGACCCGAACCTGGAAGTCACGGCGGGACACGGGGTGGAAAGAGATGACGGGCTTCTTTGCCTCCCAGGGCCACTCGGACGAGCTGCCATCGTCCCCAGGCAGCATGAAACTTCCAGCATCAACGTCCCCGAGGCCGCTGCTTCTGCTGCTGCTGCTGCCGCTGCTGCTGCCGCTACCATCTTCGCTACCCTGATGCGTAGCCAGGGACCACGGGGAGGATGGAGATCGCGTGGGGGTGGTGAGGACGGAGGGCTGAGCCGTCTTGACGGCAACAGCGGGAACCGGAGGCGTGTTGGACGCCGCACTCCAGGCCGCCGGGCCCAGGCTAGGAAACAGGCCATGGCAAAGACAGCTGAGCAAGTACAGCTGAACAGCAGCCAGGGCGAGGAAGGCAGGGTGAGCCAGGGAGATGGTACCATCGTTCAGTCCCTGACGCAGACGGTTCCTGGACTCCTTGAGCAGCAGCCGAACATCGGCATACACTTCTCTCGGCCATTGTATGATTCGCATAAATGGCATCTGCCGGTCGGAAACGGCATCAGGAATGCAGGGTGCATACCCGTCCACCGGCGCCGACTGGGGCGGCGGTGTAGCGATGGACGGCACCTCGAGGCTGTTCCGGGTATACTCGAGGGAGGAACGGGAGGATGCCTGGTCCTCGTCCGACTCTGGCTCGTCGTCGTTCTCATCCGTGACGCAGTGATGCTGAGCCTGCCGGTGTTGCGCGGCCTCGGGTACGGCAGGCGACGCATGGTCCGGGAGGATCGAAGGAGGGGAGGCCGTGTATTCCAGGTCGTAGAGTGCGGCCGGGTCGGCGGGGACCGGAGTAAAGTCGTCGTCGGAGAGGAGCTCGGTATCAGCCGAGCTCTGAACATCGTCCGGACGACGGAGGTCGAGGGAACTGATGGACTCGCTGATGCACTCGTTGTCGTTGTCGTTGCCGTCCTGGGACCAGGACTCGCAGTCGTCGGTGCCCGAGATGAGCTCGTATGTGGAGCCGGCGAGGCCGGCGTCATCGGTGGGGTGGGACGTGATGCGCATGATGTCAGGGTCGCTAGTGGAGATCCAGTTGGCAAGGTGGCTGTTGCCTATGGGACGCGGAAAACGCAGTGAAGGCTCGGAAAATGAGAGGGACTCGTCTAGGGAGTCGCCTGGAGTGGCGATGAAGGTTGGCGGTGATGTTTGTGACGGTGTTTCAGACGGGTCGTCGCCGTCGGTTATGGGTTGATGATGAGGCCGGTCGTATGGTGGTGGTGGTGGTGGTGGTGGTGGTGACTGCTGATCCGTAAAGGGTGACGTTGATGCAGATGTACTCTGCTGTTCCATACCGAACCCCAAAAAGAAGTGCGAGAGGAGAAGAAGAAGAAGAAGAAGAAGAAGAAGGAAAGAGTGATGGTGAATGGGTCTCGGCTGCTTCACATAATACCAAGCGTCGCTGCTCCCTATCAACCGCGGGGAAAGATATAGCAATCAATGACCGAAGTCAAAAGGGTCGTTGGTTATCTTGGCGGGGTACTGAGTAACAGCCGTAGGCAGCGTTCACGGCGGTGCTAGGCAGTCGTGAGAGAGGAGTCGAGGATGTGTGCACTTTTTTTTTCTCTTTCCAAACAAGAAGGGGTGGATGAAGAAGATATCTGGAGAGAGAGAGAGGAGAGATGATGGTAGCAAAATGGGTACGAGTGTTAAGGTTAGAAGGTGTTTGCAGCAAGAGGTAATAGAAGGAGGGGAGGCCGGAGGGTGATGGGGAGGGCAGGAAGTGACTTGGGCGGGAGTGCACGTGTTTGTACATAAGCCCAAAGTCCCCCCCCCCTCCGTGGCTTTTCGGCTTTAAGCTTCCAGGTATCGCTACAGTATCACTACTCACTGCTACAGTTGCTGTGTCGGTACAAGTGATCACAATGAGCGGTAGTAGAAGGTATCGGCAGCAGTGGTCAGTAGGGATGGTGATGGTGACGGCAGTCATAGCATGGCCACGGCCAGGTTCTTTCCCACTTGAAATGTGAGGAAAGTATGTATTACCGTATTGTCGGTACGTAGAGGCGGCGCTCGATACCGTGAATGAGAGCGGTACGACGCAATGGAGAGTGCCGACCGTGTAAGTAACAGTCCCGAGTATACAGGAGTATGTACTTGCTACCAAAGTACTTTTCTTTTTTCCCTCTCCCGTAAAAGTACGCCGTTCTTGACATCATGACGCCTTATTACTTAGTACTGCTTTTCCCCTCCCCCTCCCCCTCCTCTCTGCGTTATCGGCCTGTATACAGTCGAGCCTCTGATGCTTGTCTCGGGCTGTCTTGTCTTATGATACCGAACAGGCTATCCGCTAAGCAATTACTAGTAGAAGTCCTGCACGGACAGTTACATGTATTGCATCTTACCCCATCTCTTCTTCCTGTCTCCTCTATTCCTCCCTTCGCTCTCCCTCTCTCTATATACATGTATGGATGTTTGAATGTGCTTCCCAAGTGAAGTATATCGCTCTCTCATATGCAGCTCTTGCTGATAAGCCTCCCCTCCCCCTTGACCTCTCGCGCTCCCCCTCCCCCTCGAATGTGGATTGGACAGTCCCTGCGTCAGACCCGACCACATGATGATGATGTCGCCAGTGCCCCCACTTCTTTTTGCTGGGATGGGATGCGCGGGGCACCAAGTCACGACTCACCATACACACGTCGTCGGCTTTGGGCCATTGGGCTTTCCTTGGCACCACACGAGACTCTAAGGTGCGAGTACGTGATAGAAAGGTAATGCCTTGTCTCCGTATTGACATCCCGGACCAGACTAGTATAGGATCGTTATCAATACCACTACTACTTACTACTACTACTACTACTACTACTACTACTTACTACTACTACTACTACTACGACTACTATATCACTACTACGACTACTATATCACTACTACGACTATATCACTACTACGAGTGCCATCCATTCTCATGACAGCGGTTTCATGCTCGCTCACGTGGATGCATCCCAACAATAGCGAGGAAGATGAAGGAGAGAAAGCACCTTTGATCAGGTGAGCAAAGCCCAGTCAGCGCCATTTTTTTTAACTAAATGGAGGAGAAGAGAGAGAGAGGATTCATAGAATATAACAAAGAAAGCACCCCTTGACAAGGCAGGGGGTGTGAGAGGCCAGGGGTGATCAGCAAGGCAAAAGGTGGTGGTTGAGGGGGGGGGGGGGGGGGGGGGGGGTATATATGTATATTTAGCCTCCATGACGCCACAAAGACCATAACATGACATGTTTCGTCGAAGCGTAAGAGCAGGGTTTGGCTTGCCAACAAGAGCAGGATGAGAGGACATGGAAACAATATGCAAGAGAAGAAGAAGAGAAGCAGAAGAAGGGGCAGAGAGTGCATGAGAGAGGCAAGAAGAGAGAGAGAGAGAGAGAGAGAGAGAAGACGATCATAGCACGCCGTTCTGCTGAAAGATCCTGAAGAGCGAGTCCGTGCCAAAGTAGTCGTCGTCGGGAATCATCTCGATGAGGCCCGTGAGGTTGGACACGAGGTCGCCCTGGTTGCGGTAGGCGAGGACGGAAGGCGTGGCGGCCGGGTCGAACTCGATGTCGTCGTAGTGCACCTTGACGAAGTGGACGGCCCTGTGCGTCTTGACGAGCGGCATCATGGCAGATTCGATAGTGGCCGACACTTCGCACTATCGTGTCGAGCAGGTCAGCGATGCGCGCCTCAGCCGGACGGATGCATGTGTACCCGCGGAAGAGGGAAGAAAGGGGCAAGGATGGATCTGCTCACCTCGTGGTCGTACACGAACACGACGACGGTCGTATCCCTGCCGACCTTCTCGATAGCGTCCAGGTAACCCATGGCGTCCACCTCGTCCAGCCTCCCGTACTCGCGCACGCTGGGACTGGTCCTCCTCGTCCTGACGGCCCGGCCGGCCTCGGCCTCGAGCTCCCTCCTGCGGGACTCGCGCCACTGGCGCAGGAAGCTGTCGTCGTCGTCGTCGTCGCTCCCCACGTCCGTGTTCGAGTTGTTCCCCCCGTCGCTGTCGCTGCCGCCGCCGGGGCCGCGACGTCTTGCCGCCGCCGTGACGGTGTTGCTGTTGGATGATGCGGTGAAGGCGTCCATGCCGCCGAATATGCTCCTGCGCGCATTGCTCACGCGGCTCCTCCACTTGCTCTTCTTAGCGGCCTCATAGCTCCTCGCATCGGCAATCACGCCCTTTACGCCGGTAGAGCGGCCATTGTCGAACGAGGCCGGGGGCAGGTTCAGCGCCCCCGGGTTGGTGTTCGTGTTTGTGTGCATGGCTGCCTCGACTTTCGCGTTGCGGTATTCTTCCTCTTCTGATAGGGATGAGTCGTCGTCGCTCCCGCCTCTGCTTCCGCTTCTGCTACGACGGCTATCTTCCGGGTGAGTCTTGGATCCGTTGGACGACGCGTTGTTGCCTAGGAGGGCATTGAACTCGTCCTGAGCCGGTGTTGTCGATGTGGCCGTCATGGTTGTCTCTGTGACCGCGCGCACGCAGAGGCCACGTCTCGGACTCCTGTCGGTTCGAAGCAAGGGAGAGCGGGGGTGATCAGAAATCAGAGCAGAGACAGAGACAGTACAAGTCGAAGGAAGGTGTTGGTCGTCGGGCTCAGGGAAAGAAAGGAAGAGGACGAGCCACGTCTCGGAACGGATCTGGAATGGATGTCTCGGAAAATCGTGCGGTCTGCAGGGGGTGGCGGGGGGCCCAGAGTAGCGGGGAACGGGGAGCAAGGGCCGGTAAGAGCTACGATAGTCGGTGGGCGTGAGAGAGAGAGAGAGAGAGAGAGAGAGAGAGGGTCGTAGAGATCGATCACGAAAGAGAGGGGGAGGAGAGAGGAAGGAGACAGGTAGTAGTAGTAGTGGTAGTAGTAGAAGAAGAAGAAGGAGAGGAAGAAGGAGTGAAGAGAGTAGGAAGAGTAAAGAAGGATGTGACTGTTGAAACAGGAGGATGCGACGGCGGGGTGTCTACTAGTATTTTAGTGCGTCTCCGTTAAACTGTATACGTAGTAATATAGCATGTACCGCTACCGCTGCTCCTCACCCGTGCTCTGCTCTGCCGTACACCACAGATCGCCGACAAGTCGTAATCGTCGGCGTTCCTTTGCGGCGGTGCGACCTTGGGGAGAGGAAAGGCCGGGAGGGTTAGAGAGAGGCTGTCGCTCGAGACTCTCGACCCAGAGCCGCGCCATCCCTGTCTGCTCCCGCAGGCTGTGATGTCCATGAGGCTAGACAGGGGTGTTTCATGCGGCAGCTCGTTCACAGCCTACCGTACACGTACTCGCAGTTTCCACCGGTACTCTCCCGTGCTTGGTTTATGTTCCTCTTAGCCAGCATCACCCACGAGTACAGACAGGGCCCGTCCGTTGAGGAATGGCGGATCTGCGGGCAGTCTTGGCTATGAGCGCGCTGGACTCTTATCTTATCATCAGTGTGTGTTCGGCAGTACACACACACTGATGGGGTTATATGTTATATATGGGGAGGGATATATATATATATATATATACAATATAAAACGAAGAATAAAAGTTGAGAAATAAGAAAGAGGTAGAATCATCGTGGCTATACATGTACAGATACTCTCACGGATGAGGTCGTCGCCAAGTACGAGTACGACGAGTACATACATACGATGATATTGCTCGAACAGTTGAGATACCCCCCCCCCCCTTTCCCCCTTCCCCCATGCAATACCACGTGCATCCACTCAATGCATGGAACAGGAAAAAGAAGGAAATCTTGGAAGGAATTCGAGGCGAGACCTCACTCCGTATCCCTCAGGTAAAGCATGAATGTCATCGCCTCCTGTCCTAGACTCAGGTCTTTGATCCCTGACGCCCCCGGATCACCCCCAAGTCCAAGTTTCTGCTCCGGGTAGAGTGGTGATACCTACCTGTACCTGTACGAGAGAAACTCAGAGTGCTGGCGGTATTACTAATTAGCAGTACGGAGTAATCTGTACAGATTACATAGCATCATATCATAATATGTAGCTGCAGTACTGATACGTAGCAGTAATGCCGGTAGCGGTGTCTTCCTCTCCCTCCCCGGTCCGCCAAACGTGGCAAATCCTACTCCGCCTTCTTCTCTGTTTCCCCCCCTTGGACCTTTTGCCATTTGGCCCTTGGCCACTTGACCCTTGGGACCTCTGGCCCTTGTATCAAGGTCGTTTCATCCTCCTCGTTCTTGCATGGTCCATCCACCTGGGATGGTCAGCACGTTTTTCTTTCTTCTTCCATCCACTGATTTATTATATCTATTATATTTACTATCACTCTGCTCTCACCACTCTCGTGATGCTTGCGCTGCTCCGTGCGTGCTCTTCTGTCCCATGCTCTTCTGTCCTGTCGGTCACCTTCTGCTTTGCATTGCCTGTTTCCGCATGGTCGGATCCTCTGGCTATCAAAAGAGTCGTAGCATTCATCTCGTCGGTGCTAGCATTCACTATGCATCCACTACCTGTGATTACCACTCATCTCTACTCGACAGCATTACGGACGATCAAGGCCCAGGCAAAAGCCACAGCATTGCACTTCATCCAAAATTACGAGTGATACGAGTGATACGAGGAATACAAGTCGTAGAAGGGCACCGTGCACGTATCGTGAGATGATCACGCGATCCAGCTTGACCTCTCGGGAATATATACACACATATCTGGGAGCCACCGTACACACAACCGTGCCGTCTACCCGTATCGGAGCATCAGAAGACTGGCGTAGTGAAGAATCTTATGAAGGCGTGGGAATAGCTATAGTAATAATAATAATAGTAGTAGTAATAACGAAAACAAGAGAGGTATCGCACATTCAAACCCAATTGTCTGCTTCTTGCTTCTGCTTCCGCATCTCCATCAACCTCCTCCATCCAGGCCAACCTTCGAGAGTAGTTACAATGGGCTCAAAAGAGAATTGCAGATGAACGGAAAGAAGAAAAATGACAAACCCGCTGGAGATTTTCTCCGCCATCAACGACTTGAACGTTTTTTTTGTGAATATAAGACGATAACATTTTTCTTTTTCTCCTCCTTCTCCCTCCTTTACTTTCCCCCACCCCCTCTGTCGACGAAATGGCAGGATACGGAAAAAGCAGCCAGAAATAGAGATAAATTGAAAGAAAAAAAAGACCAGGAGTAATAACAAGTGAAAGAAAAGAAAAGAAAAGAAAAAGGAAATTGGTATGTGTTGCGTGGTTTTTGTCGGTATGTGAGAGAGAAGGTTGTGTGTTATTTGTATGTAGGAAAAAAAAGAGTTTCTCGATGGAGAGAAAGAAAAACCAGCTGAGGTTTTTTCTTTTGTGTGAGTGGTGGTAGGTGGTAGGTGGTGGGTGGTGGGTTTCTTGTTCGTCAATTAGTTCTGCGTGCGGTCAAACCGAGATGCATGGCTGGAACCTGAGACGAGATGGTGATTGGTCCTATTCCCTTCTTCTTCTTCTTCTTCCCCTCCTCCTTTTCCTTCTCCTCCTCCGTCTTGCCGATGTCGACAATTCGAACATCATCTGCAGTAGGAAAAGGAATCGTCGGCAGAATCAGAGACTTGAGGAATCGTGACGCGGATCAGTCTTCTCCTTTGCAGCATGTCGAGACAAGTTTTGAGGTGATGTATTTTTCTCTCGTTTTCGGGGGCGTTCGGGTTTTTGCATCGTCATGTAGTCTCCGAGCTTCTTAGTACGCCCAGACCTTAAGCTATAGGAGAGAAGGTGATGGTCAGTCGTAATCATTCGGAGCCCATGTCTGCGTGCGCAGCGTGCCTGGAGCGCGTGGTCAGACTTACCAGAGAGTCCCAAGAACCTGTGCACAGGCTGATACCGTCGTTGCTCACACCCAAACAGCTCACGCGGTTCTCGTGGCCGACGAGCGAGCCGACCTTCTCCCCGCGCGTGATATCCCAGACCTTGCACTCGAAGTCGTCGTAACCTGCAAACAGGAGGCGACCCGACACTGACGTGGCCACCGAGGTGATGCCGCAGAGAATGGATTCCGTCTGCACATGCATGTTAGTCATCTGCTGCCGGTTGGGAGGGTCGAGGAGTGGGGGGGGGGAGGTGGAAGGAGAGGGAACATGGACATACTCCGTAAAGGTTCAGCTCGCGGTCGGCGCGAATGTCGAATAACCGGCAGGTAGCGTCGTCAGAACCAGTGACAAACGAGTGACCATCGGGGAAGAACTGGATGGCGTTGATGTCCGACTCGTGACCGGCAAAGGTCTGCACGGCCTTTCCGGCGCGGATATCCCAGAGCTTGGCGAAGGCATCGCAGGCGCCCGAGATGAAGGTGTTTTGGTTGGTGGGGTTGAGGCTGATGCTCATGACATCGCCGAGGTGGTCGGCGAACTCGGTCACCTTCTGGCCCGTCTCGATATCCCACTTCATGCAGGTCATGTCTCCGGACGAGGTCAGGATGCTGCGGTCGTTGATGAAGCGGCAGCACGAGAGGTATCCAGCATGTCCGGTAAGCTCGCGAGCTACGCGGGTGGGCCCATCGCGCTGCTGGTTGAGATTGTAGATGGAGCAGATGTTGTCGAGACCGCCGCAGGCGACAAAGTTGCCGCTGGGAGCGTAGGCGCAGGTCATGACCCACGACGAGCGGAGAGGGATAGCGTGGACCTTGTTGGTCGTGTAGGCGTCCCAGATGATCAGCTTTCCGTCCTGAGACGCCGAAACGAGGTGTCTCCGGTCCGTGGACCAGTGCATGGCGTAGATCTTGGCCAGATGACCCTTGAGGGTGCGCTTGGCCTTCATCAGCTGGTTCTTGGGGATGGGCTCGTGAGCCTGCTGGGCGACGGCGCGGACTGTCTCAAGTTAGCGAAACAACGGAAGTCCTTCATACACACGTACGGAGACGGGGAAGCATCATGGACAATGGCGATATGGGAACGATTGAGGCCTTTTTTTTCTTCTCAGGGTCGGATGTGGTGGACAAGGAGACGTGGCTGGAAGGGCAAATTCGTGATGAGGGCAACTGCTCCGCTCGACGAGGGGTCGGGGCAAGCCCGTCTGAAAGTGCGTGATAGGGGGAACATGGTTTGGAAAGCATTGAGCCAGGGTGCAGAGTATCGGGGGCGGAACGTACGAGTGGTGTCGGCTAGTTCATCCTTCTTCCTCTTGATGCGGTCTTTGAGTGTCTCGGCCTCGCGGCGGGCCTGCTGAATACGTGACTGCATCGCCTCGGGCGACACATCGTTGGAGCTCATGATGGGCGGTGGTTCGATCTGTTATCGTCGACGACGAGAGGTTAAAATAATAATAATGATAATAATAATAATAATTGGGGAGCGGTCTGGTTCGGCGTCGGGTGGGAGAGGATGTGCCGAGTAGTGGCGGCGACGACGATGTCGGGAAAACGGAGAAGGGAAAAAAACGAGCGCAGCTAGCCGGGACTGGGTGAGACGAAGGTGAGAGACAGGCGACCGGCGTCAGGAGGCGAGGGGAGGGTGAGAGGAGAGGAACGTCCGTTCCGGACGTTGTCGATTCCGTTCAAAGGTCGGGTGGCAGCAGACTGGTGGCTCCGGCGACAAAGGAGAGGAGAAATTGGGAAGGATTGAGGATGTCGGGACGCGAAGGCTCTCGGGGCGGTTCGTCGTCGTGATGGGATTGAATGAGGCGGATGGAATTGACAGGTTTTGGGGGAGAGAGCCAGTCCAGAGAGTGCGTGGTGGTGTGGAGGGAAAGGACGGGAAGGGAAAGAAGACGCTGACTGGCTGGGCGTAGGAAAAAAGATGTGGAAACGTTTGCAGTCCTGGGACTGGACCGACTGTGCCTTAATACGGGAGTACGGAGGTACTTTTTTTTGGGGGGTGGGGTGGGAGAGAAGAGGAGGAGAAGAGGAGACGGAGAGAGAGAGAGGAATCGGGGGGGGGGGGGGGGGGGGGGGGGGGGGGGGGGGGGGGGGGGAGGTGTGGATTGTGTGGGTGTGTGTGTGTGTCTATATGGGTATGGGTGCGTTAGGTGTGTGTCTGTTCGTGCGGGTATGAGTACTACGCTGATGGTGCTGGTGCTGGTGCTGGTACAATCGGTGCAGTTTGTGCTCACGCTGGCTGAGGCTGGTCGTATTATATGACGACAGTACCAAAGGTAAACAGATGGTCGTGCTAGAGGCAGTATGCACATGAACGTCAACCTGCTCTCGACCTCGTTCACCGGATGCGCGGGATGGAGGGRGRGGTAGAGAAACAGAAGCTGTTGCCTCTGCTGTTGCCTCTGCTGTTGCCGTTGCTATTCGTACACGCAGAAAGTCGGAAACTCCGCAAGAACGGCAACTGTTGAAAGCCCCCGGATCCACGGACGAACAAGCCCAAGCCCGAGCCTGAGCCTGAGCCTGAGCCTGAGCCTGAGCCCACAGCCCACGAGTCCGTACATAACGTATTGCCTGCACGGGTGCTACCAAGTAACAATGTTCGTACGACCTAAGGCTTAGAGGTGATACAGGTCAAGGCATATCGAGGTTGACTGGTTCGGTGCGTCTGCTAGCAGAAAGGGGGGGGGTGTGAGATGGGAGAGATGGAAGTGACAGGGAATCAATACATCATTGCTCCTCCCCCAAGATGGCACACTTCAAAGCCGGGCTTGAGCCCATGTCCGCTATTTGTTGATATCATACAAGTATCCGTAATCTGCACTGTGGTGCTCGTACGCGGTCATGCGCCGTGCTCAAATATCAAGTCGTTGCCGTTGGGCATTGCCACTGGCATGCGACGGTGGAGAATTATCTAGATACTTTCTCTCCAGAGATGAGTAGAGAGGTTTGTAGAGAATTCGGACTCGGTATTGCGACTTCCATGGCAGTAATCCGTACTGTCGCTCCGTACATGACGCCCATCCACTGTCTCCGTACTCGTAGTCGTACGGTGTGATGGCAGACTGGTACATGCCATGTGCGAGCAATAGCAGTCACGATAGAGCACAGCTGAAGTACTCTTCACCCGTACCGCCCGTACGGAGTACCGTAGCAGCAATACAATAATAATACTCTGCGAGTATTTGCCCCTACGGCCAAAGGAAATGACGGGCCTCCACAATCAACCCACCACCACTCTCTGCGGAAAAGGAGAATGCCAGGGGCTTGAAATGGGAGGGACCCGCTAGGATGCTTCGGATTTCGGTGGGGGCGGCTCTCGCCGATTCAAGGTTACCACTATCACTACTCTCTGGCCATCCATTGCCTTCCTCTCCGTCCTCTTACTCGTCGTACCTGAGGAGCAGATTGTAGTGTCATCATCTGCTAGCACGGTAACCGCATCGCTGCCTGTATCGATACTACTTGTACCTGTGAGAATACTTGTGGTGACACCGTATTTCCCTCTCCTTCCAGACTCGATTCTCGCCGATCACTGACGCGATTCTTGTCCTGTCATCACCTGTCAGAGTCTCTTGTCTTGTACGTGTAATCCTTAGAGATTATAGATGTCAGAGCATCAACTTTCCCTCCTCAAAAAAAAAAATCTGCTCCGTAATCTCTGCATCACAAGCCTGACCTGCTGATTCCCGTGTCACGGGAGAGGGAATCAAAGTAAGTCGGCGTCTTTGTAGGCAGGAGCTCTCGTACACACCTTCCTTAAAGCACCGGCGGCCTAAGCACCCCCCCAAATTATTGCCAATTATTACTACTAGTACCGTACGGAATCTCCCTCCCTCTATCTCTCTGTCCACCTTTCGCCCTTCATGATATTCTACTCCTCCTCTCCTGCATGCGAGTACTCGTACGAAAGTACGGATTACGGATTACCCGTACAGAGCATCATACTTTTCCATCATAGAGTGTCACTTGCGATGATGGTCGGAGCAGCAGCGCTCATCCCGAACAAGGCGCCATGGACTATGGTAATAATAACCCCCCGGAAAAGACGCATCCTCGCTGCAACCTGCATCCGTCCTGCAGCCGTCTCCGTAACGGGTACGAGTATTGGATACTCCGTACATACGACGTGCGCTGCTGTACTACGGCTTCTCGATACCTTGGTACCGGCACCCAGTCTTGACACTGGTCAGGGGTGCGCAGCTTAGCACGAGTGGCCGCTGACAGAGTGTCGACGCCCCGATTCCCAGACCACTCCTGCTATTACTAGTACGGAGTAGGGTCTCCGAAAAAGCTGCCAAGAATGGTGCAAATGCCAAATGGAAACGTTGACGAAAGACCAGGGCTTCGAGACAAGGCTCCCCCCCCTCCCTCCTTTCCCCGACAGCCACGACGAGTACCGACTGACCATTACGAGCGCTCGCCCGCTACACGGATCGTGTTACGCCGCGCACACAACACCGTTCGCCTTCACGAAGCTACGAGGGTCTAGTACTCTTGTACGTCGTGCAGGGAGTACCGAGAATGATGGTTTCTGTCTCTCTGTCTTCTACTCGCTATGTTGCCGTGCGGAGTACGCGCATACAATGTACAATAAGCAATAATCTGCACATGGACCTATCGGTCAAATATTGTCGGTCGACGTTGGTTTGTCACCTGTCTTAGCCTACCGCGCCCGATCCGAGCTCCTGTCTCAGACCCCCCACGAAAGCTTTGGTATGTCGTAATATATATATACGATTGTTACCCTCTCTACGGGTACATATACAGGTACAGCCACTCATTTTCTCTTCTCTTTTTTTCTCCATGTACGGGTCGATGCTGAGAGGTCGAGAGGTTGAAGAGAAGCGAAACTGTCGATGATGGACACCCCCGATCCCAAGTTGGGGCTGTTACTTCCTCATCCTGCGGGTGACAATACATGTAACCCTGTAGGGTGTATTGGTATTGGTAATAATAATACAGACCAGGGCATAGGTGTATGTGTTGCAAGTATGCCCATCCTCTCAGGACAAGAGCGAGAGAAGCTGTCGAAGAAGCGCCACCAGAGAGAGATGAATAAATTTCCGGGAAAAAAAAATGCGGGAAACCCTAACAAATAGATGGTACTTGTCATGGTGGCCTATGAACCTTGTTAGCGGCCGAGCCCATGTCGACACCAGCATCGACGTCCCCCCCCCCCCCCCCCCCCCCCCCCCCCCCCCCCCCCTCCCTCTCCCTGACAATTCCCTCTGATGGTTCTCAATCAACAATCGAGGGAAAGGGGGGCGGGAAGGGGTCAGTGGCCCAGTGCGGACGAGCAAGGTCAAGGGTCCGGACGGATCCACAAGGGAAGCCAGGGGTGGAAGCTGTTGGTCCCGTATGGAGTGATGTATCGTATCGCAGTAGTCTCTGTGCGGACAATGGATGAAGGAAAGGGGACGACGACTGCTTCACTGAGCTGGTCGAGTAGATTCGCAGCATCGGCGCATGACGAGCGCAGCGTGCTCGCGCAGTTGGCTGCTGAGCCAATTGCTGTGCTCGTAGCTGTAAGCTCACGACTATCCGTCCCGGCTATTGGTTCTGGTGGCGTTCTCTCGTCTCTCTTCTTCTTCTTCTTTTCTCTCCAACGGGGTGGATACCATGTTGCTCCCAAGTGAGCGTCTGTCTGCTGGTGTTTACCTGTACAGGTATGATGATACTGATTGACAGGGTACGAGTACAGGGTATCTAATTATACATGCACAGACTTGCAGGCAAGAGATACCAGATACCATAATGCAGGCATCATCATCGAAAGCTCCTGGTATCGAATCACCGTGATCAACTGTACGTGCACGTCCTCCGTACGGATAGAGAGGAGGAGGGAGGAACCGTACGAGACGAGTCATTGTACGGGATGATTTTCGGATGCGGAGGCCATATCCTGCTGCACGTAAGAATACGTCGCAACGCCCCTTGTCCCTACAGCTACAGGAACAGGCAATAACATCAACATCGTAATCTGTAATATGTGCTCTACACGGAGTACGGAGTAGACAGGTACCAATAATACCCGCACTCGTACGGAGTAATCGGTGCGGATTACGGAGTACAGGTTACATAGTATCAATCATATCACCAGTCTGTTATATGCTTGCTTGCACTCGTAGGAGTCGGGACTGATGCCAACCTCGCACCTGCCGAGGTTCTCATCATCCTGTCATCTCTCGATTCTTGCTCCTCTCTGCTGATGTACTGTCGATGCCAGTAAATCTGTACAGAGTGATAGTGCCATACCGGTACCAGCATGATGCTATACAGGTAAGTGCTCGTAAGGGTGGGGAGCACAGGCAGACTGTCGACAGAGGTACGTATTACCACCTCTCCGTCCTGTCTCACCTCCTCAGCTGGCTCCCCCTCTCCTTTACTATCGTCTTTAAATAGTGACGTCTCTCTCTCTCTCTCTCTCTCTCTCTCTCCCTCTCTTGTCCGTCCATCTCGCGTGCGAGTGCGTGAGATTTTTATTTTTTGTAATAATACTACACACACCTGTTCTCCTATCTTCTGTTTTTTTTTCTTCGCCACTTGCCTACATGGAATATCTATGGAGAACTACTCTACCAGTCAAGATTTTTTCTTTTTGATTGTTGGAAAGGGGGGGGGAAGAGAAGGAGAAAGGTGGTGTGGGGATTTTCTTTCTCTTGTGAAAGACACAGCACCTTCAGAGAGAGAGAGAGAGAGAGAGATGAAAAAGGGGGTAAGGGTCGGGGATGAGCTCCCGATACTACTGTAGTGCGAATTACTCGTTCGCTTGTCTCGGCATTAAAACTACAGATTAATGTAGCATAGTCATAAGATAGTACGAGTACGAGTATATGTAGTACAATGTAATGTACATGGTAGTTATTACTCGTAATAACTACTACTCAGACTAGCAACTGGCAGGGAAGAAGCATCCCCCTCCCTCTCAAGGCTATGTAGGTGCAACCGTCCTTGATTAAATATGGTGTTGTGTCTTGAGTTGGGACGTTTCAAATCGCTCATGCAGATACGCAGAGTCTCTCAATCACATGGACTGTTCTCAGATCCACAGACAGAAAGATATGACGATACAAAGGAGAGGCAGAGGAGAAAGACAGACCACAATTTTTTTTTAAAAAAAAAATTAGATAAAAATAAATAAAAAGACTAGGTACAGATGTCCCCGTTCATGACTGTTTCTTTGTGCTGCGACCCACTCGTCGTCCGCGGAAACTCGGTACCGGATCACCACTGGAACATGGCCAACTGACGACGAGTCAGGTCGGAAAGAAAAGAGAAAGAAAAGATGGAATAGAACAGGCACGTCCCTGTTATCCTCATCGGCTCCGTCCGTGTACTTTCTACCGTTTGAGGGTATCACCATCTGTACGAGTACCTCTATCAACTCGTGGGGGAGGGAGGAAACAAGAGCAGAGAGAATAACGAGAGAGAGAGAGAGATTTTTCGCAATGCCCTTTTTTTCTCTCTCTTCTTTTCCACTCCATCTGACACCTGCTGAACTGCTAGTGACCTATCCTCAGTTGTTGGCCTCTGCCCAATTCTCAAACCAAGTCAGAGCCTCGGGGTTGGCAACGCTGGCATTGGTCTTGACTCGCATACCAGACAGGATCTGTTTGACAGCGACTTCGATTCTATAGTCGGATCAGTATGTCAAGCTGAAGTTGAGAGAAGGAAGGAAGGAAAGGAAAGGAAGAGAGAGAGAGAGAGAGAGAGAGAGAAAGGCAGGTGTACAGAGGAAAGATGGGGGGGGGGAGGGGGAGGGGGGAGGGGTAACTCACTTCTTCCCATTACTCGTCTTAGGAATCCCACTGGGACCGCACTGGTCCACGACACCAGGAACATGTCTAGGACTCAGCTCAGTCTTGATCCTCTGCCTGATATCGGCAGCCAGCCCGTCGTCCAGGGTCCTCCCCCCCGCCATGACGACGAACAGGCAGACCGTCTCATCCGCGTCCGCGGGCCTCCGCCTGCCGACGCACACGGCGTCCTCGACCTCGGAGGGGAAGAAGCGCGTGAGCACGTTGTATATCTCTGCGGAGCCGAAGCGCACGCCCGACGGCTTGAGCACGCCGTCCGACCGGCCCAGCATGATCAGGCTGCCGGTCGAGCTGTCCAGCATCCTGACGAAGTCGCCGTGGTGCCAGACCGGGCCCGCGGCCCCGCACACGCCGGCGAAGCGCTCAAAGTAGGCGGAGCGGTACCTGGCGTCGCCGTCGGGGCCCCAGAAGGTCAGGGGCTGGCAGGGGAACGGCCGGACGCACGCGAGGTCGCCCGGCTCGCCCGGCGCGACCTCGCCCCCGGCGTCGCCGTCGCCGTCGCTGTCGAGCACGCGGATGGCCATGCCCAGCCCGGCACACTGGATCTCGCCCACGCGCACCGGGAGGAGGGGGCACGGCGCGCCGAACAGGGATATGATGTCGGTGCCGCCCGTGATGGACGCGAGGTTGACGTGGCCCGGGAACGCGTCGTAGACGTAGCCAAACGTCGAGGGGGGCAGGGGCGAGGCCGTGGAGTAGATGGCCTCGAGGCGCGAGAGGTCCATGTCCGGCTCGTCCCGCAGAGGGTGCGCGCCCGCCGCCTCCAGGGCCGTCAGGTAGGCGGCCGAGGTGCCGAAGTGGGTGACGCGCAGGTCCGACAGCAGCCGGGGCAGCGACAGCAGACCGCGCGGCCGGAACGGCGACCCGGAGTACAGCACCAGCGTGGCGCCCACGGCCAGGGCGCCCACGCTCCAGTGCCACATCATCCACGAGGTGGTGGTGTAGTAGAGCAGGCGCGAGCCCGCGCCCATCGAGCAGTGCAGCCTGTGCTCCTTCTTGTGCTGCAGGAGCGTCCCCAGCGCCGTGTGCACGATGGCCTTGGGCAGGCCGGTCGTGCCGCTCGAGAAGAGCACGTACAGCGGGTGCGACGGCGGGAGCTGCTCGAACCTCGGGGGCGCTTCCGTCGCCGGGGGTGCCCGTGAGAGGAAGGTCTCGTAGTCCGTCGCCAGGTCTAGGCCTCTGCTGCTGCTGCTGCTGCTGCCGCCGCCGCCAACAAGGGCCTCGAGGTCGCGCAGCCCAAGGTCCCCGCCGACGGTGTCGATGACGACCACGGCCGTCAGGGCCCCGCCGCCCCGCGCCGCCAGCTCGCGTACGATGTCCGTCGTCTTGGCCGTGCTGGGCCAGCTCTTCCCGTTGTAGACGGAGCCGTTGTCGGCGAAGAGCACCTTTGGCTCGATCTGCGTGAGCCGGTCCAGCACCGCCGTCACCCCGTTGTCCGGGCTGATGGACGTCCACACCGCGCCCACCGACGCCGCCGCCAGCATCGCCACGATGGCCTCGGCGTGGTTCGACACGTACCCGGCCACCACGTCACCCCGCCCCAGCCAGACGGGCGCGTCGCGGAGTGACGCCGCGCACCGCCGCACCGCCTCGCGCAGCTCCGCCCACGACGTGGACCTGGCCCCCGACGACCCGGACAGCTCTGTCACCGTCAAGAGCGCGGGGGACGACTCGTCCAGCGCCGGCTCCGTCGCGGGGGGGAAGAGCAGGTTCTCCGCAAAGTTGAGCCGCGTCCCGGCGAAGAAGTCGGGGCGCGGAAACATCGGCGCATCATCGTCGTCCAGGGCCTCGTGCAGTGTCAACGTGGCATCCTATAATGTGACGGTGCTAGCGGCAGTGGCAGTAGTGGGCTGCGGTGCGTCGCCGTAACCGTGAGGAGGAGGAGCTCACCTTGCCTCTCCCAACCGAGGCCTTGACCCCGACAAAGTCCCAGCACTCGTCCCAGAAGTCACCGACATGGTCGACACTCCATCTGTACAGGCTCTGGTAATCGGAGCCGGGGAGCCCATGCTTGCCCCTCACCTGCTGGAGGAAGCGCCACATGGGCGTGGAGGAGGGGTCGGCATGCCGCCAGAGCTCTTGAGCCATGGTCTTTCAATGCTCCGCTCTCCTTGATCGAGATTTTTTTTGATAATAATGATAAAATGAAGATGAAGATAAAAACCCCGCCGTCTCTTGGATGGTGAGTCTGGATCATCGAGTAAGTTGAGAGTGCAATGCCGTAGATGGCGATGTCAATTGCACGGCGCATGTGAGGTGCGGTTCGGTTCCGGCGGTCGAGCTGTCACAAGCCACCAGTGGCCCATCGATACCCGCGCGCAAGGTGCGTGCGACAGAGACAGGCATGTGGCTGTGCGGATGGTGGCTGGTTGAATTCTGTATGTGGCAGTCAGAACCTTTTCCTTCTTGCGGAGTTTACGGTGACGAGAGGTTGGAGCGGATGACTGACGGATTCATAATGGTTGAATATCGAGATAACACGCGAGTGTCGTATCATATCATATCATGCATGTATAGAGGGTCAGAGACTCTGGCATGTACGAAGTATACTATCGCTTCTCAATCGATGGAAAGAAGAAGAGAAAAAAAGGAGAGAGAAGAAAAGAAGAAGAGAGGACTGAATGAAAGATAGGATAGTTCACGGCAAAGGTCCGAAACGTGTGTGGGTGAATCTGGACCTTCACCCTGCCCATGAGAGCTCATGAGAGTGTTCCCGGGTAGCAGCACAGACACGGACGGCATCACCAATCGGCGATGGAGCGTACGGTAATCTGTGATCTGTACACGGACGGAATTGCTACTTCGGCAGTGGGAGGTGAGCCCCCAAGGTCGGATGAATCATACCTGACAACTCTCCGAATCCCATGTTCCCAAGTGACAAGCGGCAAGGAGCTCCCCTTGCTCCCGCACCCGGTGACGGAGTGTCTAACCGTAATTAACTATCCGATCAGATCGGACCATGGCCAAAGGTCCAAAATGTCAAATCTCGGTCCACCCAATCTCTCGAGCCACGGACTACGACGTACTGTAGTGATGATTTGCGCGCGTACGTACAGATTACATATACTCGTACATGATCGAACGCATGCGAGGCTGCATCCTTACTCGTACAGATAGGCACGCAGTCTACCGTGCATGTAGCCTGCACAGATCACTCGCACTCCGTGATACGAGTGCAGGTGACGATGCTCCGTACAGCCACAGATGATGAAGAAAAGGACATGGCCACTCCCCAGAGCTCTTCTCGACGAACCTCGGCTACCCACCCGGATTGATGGACAGGCTCCTGGACTGCTACAGATTACTCATTACTGCAGACTAGTCTCGTCCGAATTAGCGCGAAGGCTCCGGAGATGGTTGCATGGACGTGCATGCACAATTTACGTCGCCCGCATATGTCTGAGGCCAAGATCCCATGTGTTGACTGATGAGATTAAGGAGTACGGTTATTGGTATTACTAGCAACACCATGAGAGGCAGCAATACATGCCGACAGTGCTGGTACGGAGCACTCGTACCAGTACGAGACGTACGAGCATAGCGGCTATCTGGGGAGCCGCCGGCACGGCTCTGCATGAGGCATGTCGGGGCGATTGCTGCATGAAGGGGGAGCACGATATTGCTGCAGAGTGCGAGTACGAGGAGTATTAAATTATCAGCAAAGCCTCTCAATGTACAGATTACATGAAGATCCACTAATCATCCCAAGAAAGCCTTGGGGGAGCAGACTCAACATACGATGCATTACTGCCCCGAAATTCGTCTTATGTATCATTGCATTTAAAGGGGCGGGGCGGGCGTATTGGTGAAGAAGAAGAGAAAAAGAAAAAAAGAAAAAAGAAAAAAAAGAAAAGGGGTATCCGACGCTCGTACAAAGCGACTGAAACGTCGTCGGATACTGCCATTCGGGGTCCATCGGGAGAAGTCTAGGCAGAGAGGATAAACCGGCAGTCTGGTCTGCGATGATAGAATATACCGTCAGATAACAATGGCATATGACATCGCTCGGGATCATGGATCCGGTTTACTGTGCCAGTTGCGAGTGATCGATACGGCATCATCTACAGATGGGCCTCTCTCGTACGATTAGCATAGTTCAAGAAGAGAGAATTGAAGGGAATAGGGGAGACGAGGGGGCTTTTGGCTAGGAGACAGGGGGGGAAGCCCAGAGCGAACAGAGTCCGTCATCGCCAAGAAGCGCCTGGTGGAAATCAAATAAAAAAAAATGAACTAACAGCAACGAGGCACATGTCGGAAAATTGGGGGTTGGTTCTCCCTTTCACGACGTCGTATGCGTCTCCGTGTGTACATCATTACACGTACTCCACTCGTACCTACTATTGAACATGCAATTTACCTGTACGAGTTACGGATACATGTACGAGTAATACCCGACACCTACCATCCGTACAGATTGCAGGATGTCTCTACGGCGTAGAGACAGGTCCGGACGCTACGGAGCATTGCTCTTACCCGTCTCCTCAACCAGCCAGCCGTCCCCGTCAGGACGCACGATGGACAGTCCACCATGAGATCATCCCACCACGAGCACTCGTACATGTACACCTCGATAGTACCTACGGGGTGCGCGAGCATCTTACCACCACGTAATCTGTAATCTGTACAGCTCACCAGGTAAGGAGCTCCCGAGCATCACTCCGCTTGGCACTTGGGGGTGGACGGCCTCTGGCACTGAAGCCTCGACATTGACGAGCAGGCACCGGACTTGATGAATTACCAGCACGTGATGTACTGCTGACCATCACCTATAGGCCGTCGCCGGTATACGATACATGTACAGTACATGTACAGTACACATATGACAGATAGCGAGCCCCGAGGCTGCAAAATGTGCACGAACCCGACAACGTACAGCGTGCCGTAGCCTGCATCATCACCCGCACAGCACTTTACAGGCCATCGACAGTGCCCACCGGCCGCTAAAGGCTATACCCAAGGTTACCACCTACCCAAGGTCACCTACCCAACAAGACTACCGGGAGGGCATCTAGGCTCACACGCTACAGCGGC